CCTCGGTCTACACCCCCACCAGCTCCGCATCTTCTGACAATGGGTCCACAGCGGCAGTCGGAGCAGCAACCTCCGCATTGGCTGGCCCAGTCTCCACTCCTGGGAACAAAACACGATCCTTGGCGATCCCACAGCTCTGTCCCTGAGCAGCATTGGAATGCCTGCCTTCCAAGCCCATGGACAGCTCGCAAGCGGCAGCAATCACCGTGCTCTGTTCCTGCCCAACAATGGGCCTCATCTGCCGGTCGGCGGCACCAATCACAAGATCCGCCACCACATCCATGACCACCTTCGCAGCCTTTCCCTGCAAGCCAATCGGAATCTGTCCTTGCGCACCAATGAGCGGCCGGTCGTGCGCTAGCGGTGACGACCGCGCGGTCTCTGGCTCCACCAATGCCTGGCCCGCAGCAACAACTTCAGGATTTCTCTGTGGCTGGGCGCATCTGATCCGCAGCGGCCAGGGATCCTCCTTGGCGGACATGCACCTGCGCCTGCGCCTCCACCCTGGTGCACGCCGGCCTCTGGACTGGTGGACTAGCTGCCGCCGGCGAGGGGAAAACCAACCTCAACGCCATAGCAACCCGAGGACAAGCCGCGCCCATTGGTGGAATACGCCAGTCGGAAGGCCCCACTCGTCCCAACAGCGCCTGACGATGCGAACCTCCAGCGACATCTCGATCTGGCGCGCCGCCCCGAGCGTCACAAACCCACGCGTCCAAGGAAGCACACGCCATTCACCACTCCCCGAGTAGCTGCCTGAATCTTCTGGCATGCCCCTTTGCCCGCTTCCATCCGAGCTAGGTGGCCGCAGCCAACCTTCTGGTCCGACGTGCTCTCTGGCCCTGCCAACATGAATTAACATCTTGTACTCCAGCAGCTGTCAAGAAGTTGGCCGGTAAGCCGCAGGGTTGAACTCCACCTCAGGCTCCGGCACCCAAAGCCTCCGCACAACTGGCACTTCATCCGGGTCGACGCACCATGCCCTCAGCTTGAAAAGAGAGAGGTCCTCACGTTTCGTTGTCTCCGGTGCTAGGCTCTCCACCAGGCAGCCCGAACCCAATAGCTCAGCAGCAGTTTCCCTCATCCAGACATGGGACGGAACACCCTCGATCATCAAGTCCAACTGGGAATGCATCACCTTGGTCACCGCTTGAGCTTGCCACAGCCATGGCCTGAAGAACATCTTGAAGAAATCATGCTCAACGAAATCTGCCGTCAGGGCCTGGTTCCTTAGTTCTGGAGCGGCGAACAACACTAAGAAATCCTCCGGAAAGAACTTGTGCACTGAAAACTTGTGCCTGGAATATGCAACTGAGCCGCAATGGCCTCGGCCGCCTCGACTGTCGACACTGTCGGCCTGGAACCACCAATGTAGGCCACCACTGCTGTCCTGAAACGCCGCTCCATGTCATCCATCTCTTGCGTCTGCGAGATGACGCAGAAGCCATCAATGGCCGCCGGCACCGGGGCCGCCGCAGGCAACGCCAGCCAGGCCCCCGCAGGTACGGTGTCCGCCAGGACTGACAAGAGCCTCCCCTGAGGAGCGACCTGCCGAGTCCCCGGCGACAGCCTGCGCGCGAGCCCTGCTGGCTGCTGCTGCTGACCAGTCCGCGCTACTTTAGCCATGGCCTCACGCCGGAGTTCCTCCTCAGGCCGTGGTCTTCGAGGACGCGAGCACTCCGACAAGATGTGCCCCTCCAGACCACAACGAAAGCAGAGCGGCTGAATGGTGCAATCTTCCCTGTGATGCCCTTCCCTGAAACACTTGAAGCAGAGACCAAAAAGATCCGGCGGGACTTCGCGCCGCTCCTGAGAAGACGCCGGCGAGCGTGACCTCTGCGAACCCCCGCCGTGAGCTGCCTCTGTTGGAGCTCCCACTTCCGGCGGCGCCAGAGCGCCTTGCGGGAGGGGTCCGGCCGCCTCCAAGGAGTCGCCGCGTCAGCGCCCGCTGCCGGATCCGCGATCGTCAGGCTGGTGGGGGGAGGAGCGCCCGCGGAGGAGGAGCCCGCAAATCCCGGCGACTCGGAGAGACCGAGGCCGGACACCACCGGCTGCAGGCGGGAGGAAACCGAACCCTGGCTGCCCGGGCTGAGGGGTCCGGAAGCCATGGCGGCAGGAGACCGGAGCAGGGAGGTGGGCGCCGGGGACCGGGGTGGTCGCCGGCACGAGGGGTGGACGCCGGGGCCGGAGTGGCGGCCGGCGGGAGCAGAGGGGAGCGGGCGGAGGGAGCAGAGGTGTAAATTGAACTAGGGTTACTGAAACTGTTTCCACCGGAAAAAGATCTGCTACCCCGCTCCATATTTAGACTGGATATGAGCTGTGTCGGTCAGTCCGGGCATTTAAGAATCATTTGAGGGGGGCGTTTGGGTCAGAAAATCATGGCAGGACAGTGGCCGTCCGGACGTATAAGATGGATTTGAAACGTCCGGGTGTAAATGTTTTAAGCAACAGTCGCATTCCCAACAGCGCATTAAGAAACCGCGGGCCGGGAGGCGCAGAATCAGTTGTTTCCCCATGAGCAGAAAACCTTTTGACCCTGGGGAAAAGGTGAAAACTCCTTGCGAAACCTTTGGCTTTGGGTCAGTCAAGTCTCAATTCACACCTTCCATGTCAAAATCATCGCCGTTCAGCTCGCAGAAGAGACTGCGATGGAAATGTCGCATCAAAATCACCCGCCCTGTGCCTCTCTGTGTGCGTGTGTGGCTTAGAGGAAGTTCACCGCAAGATCATTCAGCCTGAACTATCAATGGTGCGGTGCGGCATCTGAACTTTTGAGGACGGCCAGGAGCGATGTTGGCCCTGCTAAATATCGCTTTACAAAGCCCTCCTAGTGGTTAAACCCCCTAGATATTCCGTTTCTGTGGCCGACTGATGGCCGAAAACCACATGCCACTACTCGAAAAAGTCTCCGGGGCAAGTGCCGGGGACGGCTGCGGATTTGCTAGCCGGACCCGCTCCGACACTTCGACAACGATTTACCACAAGAATTCGGTAGATACCATTCTCAAAACCTAAAAGTAAAAAGTTGTAGATACGCTCATACATACACGTAGCTCGGTCGCTTGGATCCACCTGCGCGAACAGACGTCTGGGCTCTGAATCGGACACGACTGAACGCGCGACACGGGTCTGGTCACCATGACGCGGCGCTTGAACGCAAGCAAGCAAGCAGCCATCACGTAAACCTGAAGAGAAGGCCAGGCCATGATTTGAACACTAGCTGGCGAGGCCGAGGTCGACGTCGCTCGTCCTCGTCCGCGTCAAGTCTGCTGTCTGCGTGCGCGGCTTCGCCTCCGGCCGTTCAGTGCAAGACTCCGCTGATACGATTCACTCTGCACTTTTGCTTCCCGGCGGCACCGTCAAGGTCGTCCCGGAGAATAGAAGAGAGGAAAAGCTACGTGTCACGGGCGCCGCCGTATGTGCGGTCACCAGGCGTGCTGCTCCTGCCTGACAGCCAGCCTCTAGCTGCACGTACGGCTGCGGCCATCGGCCTCCATCATCATTGTTCAACGACATTGTCATTAGATTAATAGATTTAGACGGTTCAACGACGCTAGAATAATCGGGAGGATGCCACAACCCAAACCATGGCCGCTGTGTTGCAAGGATTCGTCCGAGATTTCAGCCATTCCCCTCCTTGACCCGCACACTAGTACGAGTAGTACAAAACTCTGCGTGCTACAGTAAAAGCGTAGCTGAAAGTCGTGCGCTTGAGCCGTCCGCCCCGCCACTGATCTTTCCCATCATGATTGGCACACATGATGCAGACCTAATTATTGTTAGTAGCTGAGTTGCTTACGACTGCGAGGTCGTGAATTACCAGAAGAAATCGCGCTGCAAATTCAAACTTGTCACGATCGCTTGTTGGCATCGATCGCATGATGATCACGCCGCGCCGCCTCGCGGTGCGGTGCCCAATACCAAGTCCAACGTGCAGGCCTCGGAACCGGCTCCAGCTGGCCGGCAAAGACGATCGGCGATGGCGAGCCAGGCATCCCGTGTCGACGGACGACGGTTCACGGGCGTCGGGCGGCCAGGTGGAGGTGGTCCGACCAGGCAAGGAATGAATGGGGACGGAACGGAGTAATGAGGAAGCGAGAACGTTCGCCGCCGCGTACGTACGTATATACGTATATACGTGAACGTGACATACGGTCCAGCCCCGGCATAATTCTCGGGCCGTTTCGCGTCGTAGTACGTCGTCCGCAAAATTAGAACTGAATTTATTCTTCCATATATGGACGTAATTCAAGGCCCCCCAATGCTCCAAGCGACGCATTAATCAACGCTTGAGCGGGTCAGGCCCCTCTTGCTTTCCCTAAGGATCGAAATAATCAAAGCAAGCCGTTTTACGGTGGAGGTGAGGCCGTGGTAAAATCTTTCCATTTTTACCTTTCTAGTCGGCCTGGAGAACAGTGGAGCATAAACATCCAACATGGATCTTTGTCTCATACATGCATGGGGTCGGGGGAGCACAGTAGCGCATGGATCTGGTGGTCGACCAGCGCACCGCATCGAGCGGTTCGCGCGTCCCTTCCTTCCTCCGTCAATCGTCGTCCCTTCGTCGCTTTTCACCCCGGGCGCGGGGTCGCCGTCCCGTCGTGCGGTGCGGCCAGATGGACACCGGTCGCACAAATATCTGGGCGGTTACGGTCACTCATCATGCGCAGCGCAGCCCGTCGGCCTCCGGAAACACAGACCCACGCCGCGGGCCCCCAGCCAGCCAGCCAGCCAGCGAGTGAGCTCACCTCTGCGTTGCGTTGTGCTGAAGCCGCACAGACACCCGCCCCTTTAAATACGGCCTCTCTCGCTCCTTTCCCCCGGCACAGACGCGACCTCGGCAGAAAGAAACACCTCCCAACCTCTGCTTGCTTGCTCCCGCCGCTCCAAAGCTTCGCGTCGCCTGCACCGCACCGGTGGTGCACAGTGCATCAGCTGCTCGAGCTGCGGCGGCTGGTTCCGGCGCCGGCGAGCGGGTCGACCGAGAGGGCATTTCCAAGATGAACGCGCCCAGCTCGTGGCTGTTCGCGGACAACTCCAAGTACAGCACCCGCGCGCGGCTGATCTTCATGGGCCTCTCCTTCGCCATCGGCATCCTCACCTTCCTCGTCTACCTCGCCATCTGGTACACCTGCAGCCGGCGCGGCCGCCGCAGCCGCGACGCCGGCGCGGGCGCGGGGGACCTCGAGGCCGGCCTCGCCGCGGCCGCGGCCGAGCGCGGCATGAGCGACGCCGCGATCGCCGCGCTCCCGACCTTCTTGTACGAGGAGGCTGACGACGTGGACTGCGCGGTGTGCCTCGGGCAGCTGGAGGCCGGCGAGAAGGCGCGGCGGCTCCCCAAGTGCGCGCATTTGTTCCACGCCGAGTGCGTCGATGCCTGGCTGCGCGCGCACTGCACCTGCCCCATGTGCCGCGCCCCCGTCGGCCCCGCCGCCGCCACCTCCTCCAAGAAGGACGGCACCGCTGACACCCCCACCCCGGCGCCGGCGCCGGCGACGACAGCGACGGCGGAGGCGCTGCCGCTGCCACCAGTCTAGGCTGCGCGTGGCTGCCGGCTCTCCGCGTGCCTGAACCGAGCCGCACGATCGGAGAATAGCTAACGGTGAGTGATCGGTCGGTCGACTAGCTAGCTGACATAGGACTTATTATAGAGGCCTAATCGAGGTGATTTATTTGGTTCGTAGTACGTGCGTGTACAGAAGTATCTGTGACGTCGACTGTATTATTCTTAGTATTAGAATTATTACCATTCTACTAGTAGATGGCCAGTTCTGATTTTTGTTTGATTGAGTGAATGAATCTAGCGCTCCTAGTACATGCTCTGTCCCGCTCTGCCCGGTTTGGCGGTCGCGAACTACAATTTCTGTTCTGTTGCACGGTTCTGCTCCGCCGTCACCGCTCTCGGTTGACACGCGCGCATGTCAAATTGGGCATGTCACCTCGGTGCGTTCCATTCCATTCGGTGGGCGTGCGAAACCGCGCACCGGAATCCACCGAGAGTTCCTTCCAACTTCGCTGCGTTTTTCTTCTCGGACGGACGTCGGCGCTGGCTGACTAGCCCCTGGGCCAAGCTAGCCGTGCAAGCATCCATCCGTTTCGTGCCTACTCCTCCTGTCCTTTGTTTCGGGTACCGTTTGGTGCGCATCCGTCTGTAAACTTGTTGCAGTGTTCTCGTTGGCTGGGACGAGTGCTGCTGTACTCTAGCAGATTCGTCATATGACCCCGACAGCCGTAGTAACTGTTGATATGGTACTCCCTCCGTTTTTTTTACTCTACCTATAAAATTTGTTTAAGTCGAACTACATAAAGTTTGATCAAATTCATCATAAAATATATTTACAACAGAACAAATTATATAGTATGCAAATTAATTTCTAGATACATCTAACGATATCGATTTCATATTGTGAATGTTGATATTTTTTCTTGTATAGTTGGTCAAATTTTATGAAGCTTGACTTCTAATAAATTATGTATGCAGATTAAAAAGAAATGGCAGGAGTAATTTCTTTTAAAATGGCATTCTGGCACAGACGTCGTTTGCATTCGGATAGGAGTATATGGCCAAAAACTACAACTTCAGCGACTAGGGTTTTCAAAACTACTGCTCACGATTCAAAATAAGTGTTACAGTTTGGAATTAAGCTTAGTTCAAATCTGTCGCACTTGCTATGGGTAGGACGGAGTGGTATTTTTTTGACGAAAAAAATCTACCAGATTAGGGGTAATACGTCAAAAAAAAACTAGTAGCCCTAGTGGGTGGCCTGTTGTGATTTTTGTTTGATTGAGTGAATGAATCTAGTGCTGCTAGGACATACTCTGTCCCGCTCTGGCCTGTTTCGCCGGTGGCGAAGTACCAATTCAGTTGCACGGTTCAGCTCTCGGTTGACACGCGCAAGCCAACTTGCGCATGTCGCCTCGGTGCGTTCCGTTGCATTCCACGGGCGTGCGAATCCACCGAGAGTTCCATCTTCGCTGCGTTCTCCGGGACGTCCCCTGGGCCAAGCTAGCCGCGCAACTGTATTTTGTTTTGAAGTATCGTTTGGTGCGCATTCGTCGGCGAAACTCGTCGACTGCTGGTGTAAGAGCAACCGTTCTAGCAGATTCGTCGTACAACCTCGATAAGGTAATTTTCATCTAAAATAACATTCCGGCATGGACGATATATGCATTCGAATCGTTACGAATATGAAAGCTGTGAAGGCACCATTTGAAGGTCGCTCTGTGTGACCGTGTCCTTCCTCCTCGCGCCAACATCGTTTTTTTTCTTCGAAATGGCAGGATTCCTGCATTCATTAAGAGGAAAAGACTTGCTCGGTTAATTAAGAAAAACCGACTCCTTAGACTGGTAGCTTGGTTCTAGTTTTAGGGTAGTCTGGTTCTGAACCTGAATTCGTGCGATGGTTTCGTTAATGAAATCGGAGGGGGTGCCCCCCCTCTTTTGCTCAAAATAGTAATTAAGGAAAACCGAGTGAAAATCAAAGTGTCCAATTAATTTTGAAAAACCGATGAAAATTATCACAACTGGCGAGCATCACACACAAGATACCCATGCACATCATTTTAAAGAAGGCCTCGCCGAGACAACACGCATGCATCATCGTCATCACTCCTCCCCTGGAAGGTGTCATCGTCATCCCTAAACTATGGGCAAACGATTCTGACTTCAATAGGCGATTGCCGACTCAGCCCACGCAGTAGGGGTCGTGTGGAGTTGTGTGAAGATCTGTGCTAGAACTCAACAATCTACGACCAAGCAACGCAGCTCCGAAAGAACTACAGAGGAGAACTAGTCACGACTGGCACCGCAGAAGATCACCGGACGAACCACTTGTTGCCTACTACCATCGTACGCCACGCCACAGGGGGGGCGCCACCACATCTTCTAGTTCACAACAGCAAAACAGTCAAGGCAAACCCATAGACACGCCGGAAAAGAGCCGACTACCGCAACCATTGTCGTGCCTCCGACGTCGTTCCCCTCCATCGTCATTGCCACAGAAGTCTCGACGCAAACACTGTCGCCTTCCCCTGGTTGCGCTCGCCAGTGCCCCGCTCCAAAGACGACGCCCCCAAGAGGGGATGCGAGCTGTTGTGATTTTTGTTTGGTCGAGTCAATGAATCTAGTGCTCCTAGTACATGCTGTAGCGCAACACATCTTGTCGTTCGTAAGCTTGCCCTTTTCGTCTTGTCCCGTTCGAGTGTTCGACCGTTTCTGTTGCGCGGTTCTGCTCCGCCGTCAACTGGGCGCCAAGTTGCGCATGTCAACTCAACTCAACTCGGTGCGCTCCGTTCCATCCCACTCCCACCGGCGTGCCAAAAACGCGGCGCCGGCCGACCCCCGATTCCTTCACCGCTCCCGAGGGCCGGCAGCAGGGGATCCACCGAGAATGCCATCTTCGCTGCGTGTTCCGGGACGTGCGCAGGCGGCTGGGCCCCGGCGCAGGCCGAGCTAGCCGTGCAAGTGCAAGCATCCACGTTTTTTCGGATTCGTTTCGTGCGCGCGTTCATATTTCGTTTCGAGGACCGTTCGTTTGGTGCGCTCCCATTTCGTCCGTAAACTTGTCGACCGCCGGTGCGGCAGCGGCCGGCTTTTTTGCCGGTCACGTTTCGTCCCCCGTCGAAAGCGTGAATATTTTGAGGGTTCACCTGGGAGTGCTGCGCCCGGTGTCACGCGAGACTCGGCTGACGACCCTAGTTTATGTCCGTCTTTGGCAAAGTGACCGAGCGAGCGACCCTAGTGTATTGCCGCCCGTGCCTTTGGCATCTCCAGCTGTGCCTGCGCGTAGTGTCTCCGTATTGCTCGATGAGAGGAGGAAGGAAGCTCGTGTCGTGTGCATTTATGGCCGCCACAGGCTGGTGCGAACGCTACCGGCCTCCGGATTCCGGATGCTTCGTGCTCCAGCCAATAATGAGTTCGTAGTATCACCAACTCGGGAGGGAAGGTGGCAACTGGGTGAGATCGGAGCTGCGCGCAAGGCAAGCCAAAAGCGTGAGTGCGTCGGCCGGAACTGGCGGTATCTGCGATCCAGCCGGGGCCGTCCGTCCTCCGTCCGTCCGGGTTCCTTGATTCGCCGGGTCGCAATAAGTACGGGCACACGTTAGCTTGTGCTCGCCGCGCGGGCTGCGGGTTGGTTGGACGGCACGGCACCGCGTGCTTGCGCGGCCGAGCTGTGGGCGCGAGCTGCATGCATGCATGCTTCCGGTGGACAAAAGCGAGGCCGAGATTGAATGCCGCTTTTCTTTCTACAGTATAGCTAGCTAGCTTCGGGTTCGCTTCACCGTTGATACGGCCTACGCGACGCCTAGGTGAGTGAGGCGAACGATTGGAGCGTAGCTTTTGGGGACATGATGGAGGAGGACTGCGCTCTGCAACTTGAGCTTGGGGCGAGGTATGGCCACTGGCCAGTTCCTACGTACGTGCTCATGCCGACGAGCTCGTCGTATGTGCGTCTCCTCCGTTCAGTTAGCAGCTAGCTGGTTCCCTGTCCCGACCGCTTGGCAACTTGAGCTAGAACGGAACTTTCAACTTTTCTGTTGTTCTTTCACAGGAAATTAGTTGTCGGTCTTGTAGTGCATACATCATCACGGTTGAAGAAAAGCCAAAGTGGAACTAAAGCTTTTTTTTTTCGGGAGAAAGTGTAATTACAATGAAAACTGAAAATCCTCTTATAGATTCGGTTCTTCTGGAAAAAAATTGGACCACTTCAGTGGATCCGGAAGGCATGCTTAGAGCATCTCCAGCCGTTCGGCCCCTCAGGTCGCCGAAAAAACGCGTCCTGGGGGCGAGCCGGCGAGATTTTCGGTGTGGGGGCGACTGCGTTCCCAGTTGTCGACCCCAGGTTGGCCCCAGGGCTAAACGACTTCGGCGTTTTTTTGGCACAAACTCGTCGAAATTTATTCAAACTCGGCGACATTCATTCAAATTTATACAAAAAACAAATAAAAAAATAAACACGGCCTAGCTACGCCGTCCTCACCGCGCCTCGCCGCCGTCCGACTTCTACATGCCTAGGCGCTTGTAGAAGTCGGTGTAGTCTCGCCGCCGTCGTCGTCGCCGTCCTCGTCCTCGTCGTCCTCGCCCTGCCACCCGCCGCCATCCCTGCCGCAGCCCTGTCCAGGGTCACCGACGCGGGATGGCCCGGCCTCCTCCTCGTCGCTGTCGAGGTAGAGGACGCCGTCCACCTCGCAGACGGGGCAGGGGTGGCGCGCCTTGAGTTCCTCGAGGGCGCGGCGCTGGCAAGCCACCTGCTCGCGGACGTAGTCCTCCCTCGCCCACCTCATGGCCGTCTCGTCGGCGGCGGCCATCGCGAGGTGCTCCGGTGAGGCTCCGGCTCGGTTTTCGGCCGGACACGGCGCATGCGACCGCCGCGGCCTTCCTCGGGGATGGTCAGGGCGCCGTTGCGGGTGCGGCGCCCTAGCGGGGACTCCCCCGCCGTGTCCTGCGGCTCGGGCTTGACGGCGAAGGCCGCCGGCGAGCCGCCCAAGGAGGAGGAGGTCGTCGCGTTCGACAACCGCCGCGGCATCCACGAGCTGC